TTAGGGAGCTACCATTTTATTTTTAGGGGGGGGGGGTCTAGGATGAAATTTGAAAAAAAGGCAGGAGATGAGTTTTTAAGTAAAAATAAAGGCAGGTCATGAGACATTTTGAAAAAAAGGCAGGATGACAATTTATGTAAAAACAAGTCAGGATAAACTAATAGAAAAAAAGGCAGGACAAAAAAGAGTGAAAAATAAAAAGGCAGAACAGATTACAACTCAACTAAAAAAAAAATGCAGGACAAAATTTTTCATCCTAGTCCCCCCCCCCCCCCCCCCTTTTCCCCAATAAAAATGGAAAGGAAGCTCCCTTATAGTGTTTCCTTTAGAGGGTGTTGGCCTGGAATGGTATAAAATGTACCCTGCAGTTTTCATACGCCTGTTCATGAGAAATATTATGGTATGCCTTTGTCCGTCTGTCTGACCTGATCTGTCTGTTTCTAGCATGTTGTTCACTAACTCAGTAATATTTTCACCAATTTGCATGAAACTCTGGTGAATTGATGATATCTACTGACGTGAGCTCCCTTTTAGATTTTTAGGAATTTTATAATTTACGTTTTCAAAATGTGAGGTTTTATTCATTAAAAAAGGGGGATTTTCATGTTATCGCCCATTAACTCTAAAAATGCTTTGTTCACTAACTCTTCAACGCTTTCACCAATTTGCATGAAACTGTTGTGAATTGATTATTTTATAAATTTTAGGTGTCCCGTTTCAGAGTTATATGGGATTGTATTCATGTATTGATGTGAGCTCCCTTTAGATTGTTTTGAAATTTTAGATTTTACATTATCCAGTTACAATGTAAGGGGTTTTATTCATTCAAAAAGGGGGATTTCCATGTTTTCGGACATTAACTCGAAAATGCTTTAAGCAGTTGTCATTTGTCATGAAACTTTGGTTAATGGTTTATATACATCTATTGATGCAAGCTCCCTTTCAATTTTATAAATTTAAGGTTTTAGGTTTCAGAATTGTGGGATTTTATTCATTAAAAAGGATGGCTTTCCCAGTTTGCGGATCAAATTCAAAAGTTTGTACATGCACTTTTCTGACATGTTTCAGTAAATTTGTAAATTATAACTGACATAACTAACTTTGACAATGACCACATATATTTAAGTTCAATGTACATGAAATATACAAGGTAATGCATATAGACTCGATACTGCTGCAAGGTTATACAGAGTTGTCAATGAAAAAAAAACAATTTGTTTGCCAACTTAGTGTTTCCTTCAGAAGGTTTTGGTGTGGTATGACACCCTGTCATTTTTATACGCCCGTTTACGGGACGTACTATGGTATACCGTTGTCCGTCTGTCTGTCCGTCGTCAACATGTTGGACATTAACTCAAAACCGCTTTAACCAATTTGCATAAAACTTTGGTGAATTGTTTATATCTATTGATTTTTATAGATTTCAGATTTTACGTTACCAACTTGGTAAATGTTGAATATTGCCGATGACGAAAGCGACTAAAAGCGAATATCGTAAACAACAGGGCGACTAGATTTCTCTTTTGAAGATCGGTCAATGCAAAGTGACGACCGGGAAAGCGACTTTGTCGCCCCAGTCGCATGGTAGCGTGAGCCCTGCACAATGCTTATTACTTTAAAACACAGTCCTGTAATATGGATGCGTAGAATCCTTTAGGATTTTTTTTTATTCTACTTTGAATATTGCCTGCTTAATTCAGCAACTATTCTTACAAAACAATCCTCTATTTATCCTAGGTGTTGCAGTATTGTTGATTAAATTTATATGTATATGTAGTAAAGTGAATGCAACCCCCTTTTTGAAGGTAAGTAACAGTTAACAAACTTTATCACTTATCAGTAGTTTAGAATGATTTAAAAAAAATCTAATAGATGTTACATTCATTATGCCTTCCTCACAAAAAGTTTGCATGTGTTTTAAAGTGGTTATTTAGCAATGTAATTTTTTCCCTCAGTATTAACATTAGTTTGGAAGTAAGTTAAAGGATTTCAGTTAACCAAAATTATTTCACGCCTGATTTATATAAACAAATCCCACGTCGGATATATAACATGTACAACAATCAAACATCAACCCACTCCAAACTGGATGTAATTGAATTGAAAGACATCTAGAGGTCAAGATACAGTCTCGAACAAAAGACAAAATAAGGAAAAATATAGGGAATTTTTTAGAAGAATTATTATTGTATGTATTTGCAATATTTAAAATGTAGCCTTTAAAATTTCTTGAGTTTTAGGTTCCATCTACCATTTTAGAAAACTGGGATTTCATTGCAGCTAGTCTATTAGATAACATTTTATAGTTTTGAATGTTTCTTCATCAGTTTACTAATATTAGGTGGAGGTATGTTCTTATTTCCGACAGAGGGGTACTCAACCTATATCAATTTGTGCATGAAGCGATTGATAGTTGCTAGATACTGAAGAATTTTACCACAAATTTGTGAAAGTTTTAACCGGTGTATATACTTAAAATATGTTAATAAAGTTCATGTCTTTTTCAGGACTTCTGATCCAACCATGTAGTATGGCATGTTTGTGAGATATGGTTTTGGCCAATAGGTACAAAGTATATCACTGGATTGAGCTCATTGTCTAAGTGTATTATTAAAGTGCTTTGCTTTGAGCTCAGTTCATTGTTATGTAATTCATTCTTTGTGAAATAAAGATTTGACAGACAACTCTCATGTACAAGGAATTGTCAAAGTAGTATCCATTCTATGTACAATGTAAGTAATAGGGAGATAAAAGCATTTTATTTAGATTTGAACCAAATATTTTTTGTCAATCAGCCAAATTTAAAAAAAAAAAAGCACAAATTCACCAAACAATGCTACTCGCGCTACTATAGCAATATGATGCTAGGTTCTTTTGTTACACTTAATTTTTTTACATCTGTACAGCCTACTGGCGACTCAGTCCTGAGTGTAAATGGTCATTCAGTATGTTAAGAAAAAGACCAAAATTTATAAGGCCTATCTGGCCTAATTGATTTCTAAAATATATTTCATTGTACATGTTTAACATTTATCATTCATTTGTTTATTTCTTAATTTGTGTGAATTAACAGTAAATGTTAATTACTACACTTTCATACCATAACAAAACTGCCTTACTGTATTGGTATCACTTATATTTGTATCCATATAACAAAAACAACTGAAAAGAGAATACTTTTGTAATACCTTTTTACATCGCGATGACCTTGGGGTCATTCAGATGTATTGCTATCGCCTAGATTTCCATTATGTAAATTAGTTTTGGGTTTGTAACCGATCTATAAACATGATAAATATGCGCACATAAACGAATGCAAAATAACATTCCTTATCGTTTGATATAAATACATCTCTTCAATGAATACTGATAAAAATATTTTTGTTTACAACATAAATTAATAATATGAAAATGTTTTGTAGTTCGATATATATATATAAGTAAAAAATCATTGATAATATCAATGCAGACGTACCGAAAAATTGTGTTAAAGCATGCGGAAGAATATCTCAGAGAACTTTTTGCGAGGACCGGTAACTCTGTATTTGTTTTTGCGGGAAAATATGAATGCCTACTCGTATCCAATCTTAGAAAAATCGAATTTTTACAGAAAAGTGTCCACCATGTATACTGATTTGTATCACTACAATATAATAGTTATTATGGTGAAGTTGAATTTCCTGTCATTTATTCATCATCCACGCACGAACTTGTCTCAGAAAAAAATATATCTCTGTACATTAACCTCAGTTTCAGGTAAAGAGATATGTTGTTTTTTTCTGAGACAAGTGCTTTTGACCATCCTCAAGAACTTGTGGTCATCCGATGTTCAGTACTTCAGTACTTTGATTCATATTGAATACTAAAACTTTTTAGATATTTAGACATATTAATTAGATGTTCATAATATCCACTTGACATTTTATCATATGACTTCTGTAGTTAGTTATGAGTCTTTGAAGCATGCTCACAAAGGTTCTTTTGTTGATATCATTTTCATACTGGCCAAAACTTTTTTTTTGCTTTGACCAGCTTTGGAGGAGATATTTTCAAAGAATTGATAAAAAATAACACTAGAAGTTCAGTTTCTAGCCCCAATCATCATGTCAGGCATTGTCATTACTAAAAACCATTAAATGTCTTCTAATCTGAGAAACAATTTCGACATTTAACAGAAATCTTTTACTTATGATACTGACGATCCACCACAAAGTAATATAAATAGAACCATACAAATAGTAAGCAGATACATGTTCTCAGATACCATCTCCCATATAAAAAAAATCACATTATGAAAAAAATGAACCTATTATGTGTTCCTCTCCTAGCTACAAAATGTATCCAAAATCAAAGATGTGGAACATATTCTATCATAATCATTTGGTAATTAATGCAATTAGTATCTCTTCCATGCCCGTGTTGAACATAAAAAACTAAATATTAAAAAAACAACACCCCTAATGCTCATGTTGGTTGTCATTGTGCAACACAGTTAATACATAGAAAACATAAAACATAGAACTCCTTTTGTCATATAAAACACTGTCAAACATCCAATCATACTATCCACACTGATCTGTGTCCACACTGTGTCCACACTTGTATATTTGAAAAATATTGAGGTTTTAGAAAATATTATCTTCGTAATGCTAAATAATTCATTCAAAATAATATTTGAATAAACCCACAAAAACATAATTTTATTAGCCCGAAAAAAATCTTTTCTGAAATTTACTTCAGTTCTCGCAAATTAAATTCCAGAGGCGTTCTCTTTATATAAAACAGTTTCTATACAGTACTGATATTTTGTATTAAATAAGATATAAATTCATTGAAAAAAAGCATAATTAAGACTACTCAGAAAAACGTAATCAGATACAAGTAACATAAAGTAATTTCCTTACAGATCTATTATTCCCACTTACTAACAAATTGGCAAGAATCAAATGAAAACAAACAAGGGAAACAAATGAAACTAAGCAAAAAATGAAAAAAAGATATATTACGGAAAATATTTATTTATTAAAGCTACAAAATCAATTTGAACACTAAGGCATACATATCTTTCAGGCAAGCATTTGTACTGTTACTCTATATAAATCTATAATCATATTAAGTCACACCGGCGGTTAGTATAATTCAGTAACGATACTAGAAAGAACTTAGTACTAAGGTTATTTCCAAACTTTCAAAGCTTATTTTAAATTAATTGAATCAGCATTAATTTACAATTTCTGAAATCGTTTTGCTCAATAGAATGTTATGTTACTTGTCCAAACAAAACATAATGGACGCTACGATGGCAATAATAGCAGCAATAATCACAAAGGCGAAGGCAAAATGTAGATTATCAGTTTCAAGTGTTGATGCTTCTCCTCCATAGATGCATACTCCAATCAGGATAAATGCCGCTGAAATTATAAAATTTCATAATTCAATAACTACATTACAATGTACATGTTTGATTCATTATAATTCGTTATTTTGATTGGCTAACAGCAATCTCGCGTCATTTTGAAATTAACGTTCGTTTCAAAATGAAATGTAACATTCATGATGACACGAGCTTCCACAATAAAGTGCACAGGTAAAAGAGAAATCTCGTTTTCATGATCCTAGCAAAAAATGTAGTAAGTATTGAAGGCTACTTTTAGTAATTCTAATAGGGTTGTAAAGGCGTTGGCCGTGCGCACACTTTTAGAATGAAGCGCGGAATAAAGCACTTCCCCGCTTCATACAAAATGTAGTTCGGTCAACGTTTTCACACCCCAAAAAGAGTTACAAAAAGAAGCATTCAACTCTTATATACAGTCCGTGTATTTTAGTATATTTGACGTGTCTTGTATCGCACATATCCCTTCCGGTTAGTGAATCGAGTATGCAGACTGGATCACTTAAAGTACTTGAAGTACAAGCGACAGAGAAATAGGGTCAATAATATGAAAAAAATAGCTAAAGAAAATTTTGAAACTAATTTAGGCCAATGATTGTATCTTAAATGCACTAGAAACAAAAGAAATTTGCTGTTTTGTTTTTTGTGATTTTTCGAATGCTTTTGACAAAGTTTGGCATATTGGTTTACTACATAAAATGAAAACATATGGCATTGAGGGAAATCTTTTAAATTGGTTCATTAGCTACCTATATCAAAGAAAACAAAAGGTTATCATTAATGAATCATCCTCTACTTTTTGCAATGTTTCAGCTGGTGTACCCCAAGGATCCGTTCTTGGTCCTTTATTGTTTATCATATATATTAACGATATTGCTGAACAGTTAACTTCTTTATGCAGACTATTTGCAGATGACACTTCATTCAGTTACTCGGGTCATGACGAGGAACTTATACAATCAGTTGTTAGTCGTGACCTGAGACAGCTGGATGAATGGTCAAGAAAGTGGCTTATGTCTTTCAATCCTGAAAAAACAGAAATTATGATGTTTTCATATAATGAGATACAAGACCTTAATTTTACTATGAACAATAAAAAAAATACCAATTGTGCGATCTCATAAGCATCTAGGGATTACATTTAGAAGTGACGCAAAAGGGAACAACCATGTTGAAAATATATTAAATAGACTAAGTGTTAAAAAAACATCTGAATATACTGCGAAAACTCAAATATCCACTTAGCCGACAAAATTTGGAAAAATTATATCTAGTATTTATTAGATAAATTTTTGAATATGCAACTGAAGTATGGGACAATTGCGGAAAAGGTTATTCAATTAAATTAGAACATCTACAACTTGAAGCTGCACGAATTGTAGCAGGTTTGTCTGTTTTCACACATTCTGAGACTGTCTTAAAAGAGGTTGGTTGGGAAACTTTAAAGGAACGAAGAAAAAGAAGAAAACTACAGTTATTTTATAAAATTCAGAATAATAATGCCCCTGAAAATTTATGTAGCTAAAATTCAAAGTACAACACAATATCCCTTGCAAAATGGACAAGATATCATTTTACCATTTTTCAGGCTGACACTGACTTCCCAATCATTTATCCCATCAACAATTAAACTTTGGAATAATTTGAACATATCAGTTCGAAATGTAGACTCGTTATCAAAATTCAAAGTAGAATTAAAAAACCACGACATTCGAAATGAGAATCAATCTAAACATTATTTATATGGTCCAAGAAAATTGAATATAATATTAACCCAATTTAGATGTTCGGCATCCTTCTCGAATTGTGACTTGTTTAGAGCTAATATTATATCTGATCCAACATGTAAATGTGGTTTGGATATTGAGGACATGCACCATTTTTTCTTTGATTGTCCTTTCTATCTAAATGAAAGGGCTATTCTTTTTAATGGTCTCAGCTGGCTTCCCGAAGGCTGCGAGTTGGATTTAAAACTATTGGTTTTTGGAAAAGAAACTCTTTCCTATGATCAAAATGTGCAAATTGTTAAACAAGTATTCAATTTTATAAAGAGATCAAAACGATTCCTCGTAGTATAGTATCAACATAGGTAAAACGCACATCCTCATCATTATCATCATCATCCTAATCTCTGTCGTTCTTTCCTCATTCCCACTCCTTTTTTCAGTATAGTTTAGTAATATTTATGTTGTTTATATTATATGATGCATGCTCACGTTCAATTTGTATTGTTATATATATTGTATTGTGGAGAAGACTTTATAAGTATGTTTTACTTGTGTCTGATCCTTTTTTGCTTTGAGCAAATAAAATATGTTTAAACTAAACTGGATCACTTTATCTTTATTCCTAATTAGTCATGTGATATACATTTTGTAAGCTTCACCATTCAGTAACAGTATAAGATATGCGTACTTCATCATCTATGATTTTTGTCCCTTTTTTGCCTTCATATTTGCAACTTGCTGTTCCAGTCGCATTATTGGTGAATTAAGGACATAAGCTAAAGCTTGCCTTTATGATATTTTGTATAAACGTTAACAGTTCGTGCACATTTTGTTTTTCAAAATATCAGATTCAAAACAAAAACAAAACAAAAACTCATCAAACATACAATATATTCGTATTTTAACACTGGTGTCGTACTCAAAGCGTTTGAAGAATTCATATTTATAGCCAAGTAACTCTTTCAATTAATTCCTAGTGTCAATAAATTTACGGTACATATGTGAATTCAAAACCGGAACAGACCAGTAAAGGTCGTCATCTTGGCTTAATTCTCGGATTTTCATTATACTATGTCCTATAAAAATAGAACACATGCCATGGTGTGTTGTTCACAACAATAATAATTTCTTTCTAAAATAATCGAACAATTACAAAAAGAGCACGGTCAAATACATACACTAATGCATGTAAGAGCATACTGTTCTGGGTATTTTGTTACTTTATTGATCTTATTTGATAAAGCTCAATATGTTTTTTTTTTTATTATTTTTACATAAATCAGGCTATTAGTTTTCTTGCTTGAATTTGTTTTACATTTGTCATTTCCGGGCCCTTGCTATGCGAGTCTCGTTGGTAATCATACCACATCTTCTTATTTTTTTTTAATTTATACAAACAATCCTTTTCATCAGTTTTAGGAGTTACAAATTATTACAGTCAATTACCTGCTGCAGCTAAGCATCCAACAGCTACCCATTTCAGAATTGGTTTATCTTTTAAGACGAATAGTTTCAATATGACGACAACAAGTGCAGCAATTAAACATAAGAAACCAATGGTCTCCATGGCTTGAACGGCTTCGAACCATGCTGAAAATAAATCATTGTAAGTATCAATGGTCAACATATTGTTGGTTATAAGATGTTAAGGAATTCAATGGGATAAATAAGATTAGATTAAAAAAGAGTCGTTGTGCAATATTTAGATCTCACATGTACCCGATTAATTGATTTGTGCTTATTAAAATCGGTATCATAAGTTTCCAATTCTATATTGTGTCTGCGACTTTGATGGTGACTGTCAGTGTCCAAAGGAATCGTCTACAGTGATTAAAAGGAGAAATTGCATTTCCATTAGACATAGTAAACATTATTCCGAGATTGCTCTGACGGCCTTCTTTATGATTTGTTTGGCTCCAGAAAATCCTTCAAAAGGCCATCAGACGTCAGAGAGTAATCTCGTTCTAAGGAAACAGTAACATGTTCTGATCTTCTGTTACTAGAATGATATCAACATTATACACCTATATTGCTTGGTATAAAGCATATTGTGCCTTATCTGTAATAAATAAAACACAGTACGTGTCTCATAATCTAAGAACTATCGTTCATATGATATTAAGAATAGTGGGTGTATCTATATTTGTTCACGTGTAAAGTTGAAGAATTTCAAAAAAAGTTATAAAATTAGTCGTGGGAGTGTATGTCTAGGTCACATGGTAATTTTAACACTTGATGTTTATGGCAATACTTTACAGGACATTTAACTTCTTCAATGAACGCAAAATCACATATTTATGTATAATTTGTTGAACGTAAAACTAGAAAAATATATAAAAATTTCATATAGGTATGAAACTATACACGAAATAGTTGAGCAATGTATTTCATCCACAGAAAAAAATACACCAATCCAATTATTCTTATTGCAGTGGCATGAGATTGAATCATCGTAAGCTGCTGTTTATTTCAACGGAGATAAGAAATGGAGATTATTTCATTCTTTTGAATTATGTTTTTTTATTTAATTCAGAATTTTTGAGAATTCATCATTAGGGGGTTAGGTATAAATCAATGGAACAGCAACAAAACAATACAAACAACTCTAAATATGGCATCAAGAAGTCAACATCCTGTCTTAAACGGGAGACAAATGGTCCGACCATATTCTAACTTCTAAGCCTCTTCAATTCAGACAGGCTGTGAAAGAATTCAACAGAGGCCATCAAAAATCTGTCATTAACGCAAACTTTATGACTGTACAAATCACTTGAGATATGGATGGACAAGCATTGAAACGTCTCGACTTAGTTCATATACACAAATACGTTGCGGAGTTAATATATTTTTAGTACTCAACTCTCCCCTACTTATCTCAAAAGGACTGAGAAAAATGAATCACATAAAATTATGTTGAGAACATATACGAATAATAAAAACTAAATGTTTTTCTTGTTCTGCTTATCTCCTGAACGAAATTACCTATCTCATCATAAAATCGAAATTAAATATCTACGAGAAATAAAGCCGTTACAATAAATAATCAAAATTATACAACATTCAATTGGTAGCTATGGGTCGCTACATTTTGTGCTCAGCTATGCGAATTTCATGTCGATATTAAACTGTATTGAATGCATGTTAACTTTGTATAGGTTTTTCTAACTGTTGAAGGCCGTACGGTGACCTATAGTTGCTACCTTGTACGTCATTTGGTCTTTGGTGGAGAGTTGTCTCATGGGCAATCATACCGCATCTAATTTTTGTTTTGATAATCATCACGTAATGATCGATTTGTTACAGTAGATGAATACTGTAAATCAAGCTAATATATCTACATTTGGTTTTATATAACAAATCCACACCAAAAAATCCGAGAGAGATTGGTCATACGGGTACAAAGTATTGTGTACTTTAGAAGTGGGTGCATTTACTTAATATGATTAAATAAATAAGGTTCCGAAATTCTAAGAAGGATTGAAAATATGCTGAGAATATGAAGAACAAATTTTAGTGTGAGGGGCAAACAGAAATTTAGAACATCAAATTATTTTTTAAAAAAAAAATCTTCTTGTTACCGAGACTGCCTCACAATAAAACTTTTTTCGGAAATGTAGTACATGTTTTAGCTGAACCCACTTTGTTTTTACTTGTGTGCCGTTGCAAGAACTCGTAAAAAACTGAAAGAAGTAAACATATTTAATTTGATCGCCGTATCTTGGTTTTAATACTAGTTTCCTAGGCTAAATACGCGGCACTTTACTTTTTTGTTCAAGTTCTGACAATTGTTAGATGAAAAGGAATATGACTCGCCCTACAAATGGAAACTTTGGTAAAGCTTTAACGCAACCAGATCACCCTATTGATATGGAGATATATCTACAGGGTTTATAGTTTTACAACATGACAGCTTTATAAAATTTACATACAAAGTGGGTTTCGAAAGGTGGTATACATATATAAAAGAGGTATAATATCAGACCACTCTTGTGATATGAAGATATATTTACTTAGTTTCAATTTTATAACTTCAAATCTATATAATATGATCATATAAAGTGACTTTTTGACTTTATAATGGTGGTATAAATATGATAATGATGTTTTGTTTAAATCTGAGATTACTATAATACATGTGTTACGGTAGTCTCAGTTTAATCAAAGTGCCAAAATCAAAAGTTGTTAAAACCTAGTAGAATTATTATAATATTAAGATAACATTAACACTATCAATTTTACTGTACCATATGCGCAATTCGACAACTAACGTAGTATCTTCAGTGATGCTAGAGGCCAAAATATTGAAAATACAAAACCTAATACAAACGTCGAAGACTCAGGACAGGTGGATGAACAAACATAGAAAAAACGTAATTGTAAAGCCAAATCAGGACAAGGAATCAGAGCTTTGCATCAGGGAGATACACTCCTTAATCTAAAATTATTTTCAAAATTTTATAGCAGCAAGTTTTAATCACACAATATTCGTATTGTCATGACAGTACCGAAAACTGGCTACTTAACTGAGCTGGTGGGACCATTAGTGACTACCAGTTCATCAGCAGAGGTTTCTAAAAAGTGTCTTATAATATTTTAAGATTGTTAGCAACTTTGCAGACAAATATATATAAGTGTGTTATTTTGCCGCATATTGATATTATATTGCAAATCGTACATGGCTTTGTTAATATTTTCTTAGAAGAAAAGCCAAAATGAATTAGCATGTATTTTTAAAAGGAATAATAACTTTAATTGTAGGCGTATTTTCTTATTCATTTATTATATTTGGATATATTATTGGGTTACATGTTCAGATATAGGACATAATAAGTGCATTACATAAGTACACATATGCATCTGTGATACTGTGAGATTGACGGTATTTTAAATGGTGCTATTTTGGAAATCAATTCAGGGGATATTGGTTCTATTAGTATTTTTTTTTTATCAAAATTCATTAAAATAGCAAGTAATTTTTCAAATGTATCGCTTGTATTCACATTGGTATCAGAAATTACATTTACTTTCAAAAGTAAGAGATCAAATTGAAAGATCAATACATATGATTGAATATTCTTTGCAGTTCATTGTATCTCAACCATAATCTGATTGATACGTTTCTATGAACATACATATACGATGACTTATCGCCAGGGGACTTTTTATCAATATGTTGATTTTATTTCTGTTACCGTGCAAAAAAAGTTAAATTATAGTGGTTTTTTAAGTATCACGTCAAAATTAATTGCGTAAAACCGTTCACCTTGACATTTCTTTAAATGCAACTATAGATGTCGAATTTCGAGGATCAACTCTTTATGGAAAACTTAAAACGCCTTCGATGGTCATATTTGGTTTGTATAAACCACTAATAAATCAGAAGCACATGAAGACTGTAAGATAGATAAATGTGTTGTTTTTTTAAATGAGATATTTATTTTCTTTTTCAATAATAGTGCATGTATAAATAAGTATGTCGATTTCATCTGCAAATATAAACAATGTTGTATGCATTTTATATTGTCAAAGGGTCAATATGATTATTTGGAAATTTGATGTAATCTCTAGCGTTTTGCATCTTCGAAACCCAGCAATTATTTTCATTTGCGCCAATTAAAATATTTGATGTCGATACAAAATTCAATGTGACATCCAACGGAATTTAAAGTTAACATTGAATCCTATGAAAATTACAATTTGCTTTTCTTTAATTTTCAGATTAAATGAAACAAAAAAAAAACATTCCGATGATAAAGTTCATTAGAAGAGTGTTACCTAGATTTACTACCTTGGTCCTGAAAAAAGTCCAATGACTTCATGGCGCCAAATAATGTGGTCATTTGATAAAATTCTATTTAAGAACAGATGGAAGAAATTGAACACAAACCATATTCTTTAGAAGGTACTTACAATATATTATTTCATTGGGTCTGATGAAAAGCATATTTTATTTATTTGATAAAAACGTGTGTCACGGTGATCGATTCAAACTCCTGGGAGTCATAGTTTTAATTCAAATTCCAGTGTTCTTAAGATTACCAATGAAATGTGTCAGATATACAAGAAAGGGGTCCCACAAACGTAACATTTTTTTTTTGTCCTGAGTTACAGTATCTTTTAACTACAGTATTGAATAGCCCAGCTTCCGAAAGGGAGTTCTTTGTTATAAGACTTTAAACATGTTTTGAAAATTGGCATGTAGAAAGGTGATGCATGTACAATTCATGATATACCTGGTTTCTATGAAAATAAACTTAAGGTAAAATATTTAGAAAGCTGTGAAAATTGCAAAATTTGGTTGAATAGATAGGGATTTTTAATTGGTGATCTGACACCTCTAATGCATGTCAATAACGGAATTTAGGTATTATTTCAAACACTTGTCGCGTGACTGGCATTATATATATCATCAAACGTCTGGGTTTTTTTTTAAACGGCAACAAACCAAGAGATACGTATCTTACGTTATTGTATAAATCTAATTAGTATGCATTGCGAATAAATCGATACCTAGAAAATGAAAATACTTCATTGATGTCTCGATATGTTCGTCAACCATCAAATTAAGTTTCTTTAAACAAAAATATACGAATAATTTTCGCCTGTCGACGGTTTATGGATTCAATTCTTTAAAGTGCACATATTAACCTTTCGAATAATTTTACTGTTGCTTGTGCCAAATGGGTATAATCATATAATTGGCAATCATACCACATCTTCTTTTTTATATATTGAAAATAGTAGTCGTTGACAAGTAATTGCATTAAATACTTTATACTAAAGGCTGATATTTGATGAAATCTCCGAGCCAATCATAATAATTTCTTTGTAAACGTACCGAGAATTTACCCTGCTTGAAAACCAACACCTAAGATGGTCATATGATTTGTTTAAACCACTCAGGTGAAAAATCAACCATGCATGAGCTAGGTCATGGTAGCGCGATTATATATACAAGTGCATTTCCAGAAAATAAGTTATTGCGTTATTTGATTTTCAGAAAATATAAAAGTGTGTTGCTTAAAAAAAAAGATACACAAAAAATAATAAGGCTATATAAATGCTGTATGCGATTTATGATTTTTAAAATAATTGGATGAACTCTCGAGAGTTTTAATTAACCCATTAAATATGTTTCATGAAATATTAGATGTAATCTCATGCAATTCATGGTTTTGATATCATTCACAATGCACATTAAATCAACACTTTAAAAGGGAAATCGGGGGCGTATCAAAATTTACTTCTGATAAAATTATCATATCTTATTTGTGTCGCTATGGTATTAATTTTAGACCAGACACTTATACCATATCATAATGATTCAAACTAAATTTATAGTATAATTACGCAAACTGAAATAAACACATACATCTATCTACGGAATAACGCAAAATTTAGGATCTCTAAAGACTCGTGTAAGTGTGTTCATTGTGGCCTTAATACGGAGCTCCGAATAGAACGTGAACAAAGAAATTACTAACATTCATTATCTATCAGCATGTTTTTAAAAAAATTTGATATGAGATACATGTTAAAACTTATCTTTATTGAACAATGTGCAGTACATAAAACATCACTCTTTATAGTAAAACCCACTCATTACTATACATTTGTCGTATTTTCTAAAGTACACTTCTTTAGCAATCATCAAATAATCAATAAATTAAAGCACACTGAAAGCAAAAAAAAAAGTCAAACGTGACATTACACATTGATAGAAGTATGTCGTACATCTGTAGAAATATATGATGAATAAGGAATAATTAAATATTAAAGAATCTACATGGTCATTCATAAGCGTTCGTTATATAGTTACAGTTTATATCCAGACTTACATTGTAGATAAAAAAAAAAGGGTGCACGCAGTTTAAAAGAAAAATAGGAGCGGGCAGAATTTGCGTTAGCTTTGTTGAAAAAATTATATGCTGAATCTTATTACATGCATGTTATTACAAAATAAGTAAATATTGTTTGATTGTCAACGAGACAAGTTCTATCCACATGAACCCAAATGAGGTAGATGCAAGCAACTATAGGACACCGTACGGCCTTCAACAAGGAACAAAACCAAAACCGCATAGCTAGCTATAAAAGGCCCCCGACATGACGAAATGTAAAACAATGCAAACGAGAAAACCAACAACCTGATTTATGTAAACAAAATCCAAAACAAACAAACAAAAAACAAATATGATATACAGCAACGAACGACAACCAGCGAAGTTTAGGCACATACAGAATGTGGCGCAATTAAACATGTTTGTGGATGCCGAACACGTCCCCTAACCTGGACTGTGGTGTAACAGCACAACATAAGAACAAAGTATAAAAATCAGCTAAAACGGATTTGAATCATCAGATCGATACAAGGCAAAAAATATATACTTACATTGTAAGTTGTCTGAGTCTACAAAGTCTCCACATGTTGTAGACGATCCGCTATCAAAACATAGTTTCCAGAGTCCGGCATACCGTTTTGTATTTAGTGATTCAATATACCACCAATAAGGAGCAGCAAAACCAATTAAATCGATCACTAACGCAACAATAGTTAATATGAAGCCTACAAAAGTAAGCATATGTATTCCAGCTATCTCCATCTTTCAATTAGTTTTATATCAAACCTTGCAGTAAATGTTTCTCGGTTACCTAAACTTTTCCTCAAAAGAAAAAAATTTCGAAATATACTTTATACTAAGCGGATGCTCCTTCGACTTTTCCCAGAACGCAAAAGCGTTGTTAAAACAAATAAACACAACAAACAGTAGCCTAGCGACAGCTTACAAATGTCAACAGAGCTAATGTATGTATTTATGCTTTAACCTAGTTCAAATCCACAGATGAAGCATAACCATTCGCTCATTGTACTAAGTTCAGTTAATAAGAAAAACAGTTTTACTATGCAAAATAAAGCGAGCAGCAGGTAATATTCAATCCATATTGGGATTCACTTTGTACTGTATGATTGACATTATACTGAATATATAAGTTGATGAAAGAAAGCATCTTAGGTAAAAACCACACCTGTATTCAAAACACTAAACAATTTTTAAGACAGCCCACAAATAACTGTGTACACAGAAACATTCACAACTTGACAGATAGTGTGGACAGCCATTTTCTTGTCAATACACGATTTTAATAATTTACTTGAAGATTTCTGAAGGTAAATTGACTTCACCTTTTCTATGATTGGACACATAAATCGTGTTTGATTGCTCATTATATTTTACAGAATATAATTTTATGAGAACATTTAACTTTGATATGGGATATATGGATATTTTTCACAAAATTGTGCATATTTCAGTCCCCGCCAAATATCTCACGTTATATATGTTCTATTTTACACCGTATTTTTGCGATACGTCAACTTCGAACTTATCAAATCTAGTGACATATTTATAGCAACATGAAGCATTCAGTTTGCACATAGTAGATACGTATCATGCACAGTTTCTTTATCAATTTAAAACAATTTCACGAAAAGATGCGAACGCTTCCATTATGTAACATTCCGCTATATAATCGTAACGAAGTTAACATTTCGTTAATATGTTGTTCAAAAATTCTCTAATATAAATCAGTACATATTTCTGTATATCCACATGCATTCTGGTAAGGGACGATTTATGATTGTATACTAGTACTTAATTGTTTACTTTTTTCATAATTTCTTTAACTTGTGATTGATGTTGATGTTTGTTCCCTACATAACATAACATTAAATCCATTACATAAAACAGCTAGGTTTTGTGTTTCAACAGTTGTAAATGAATGTTCAAGTAGATCATTTTTGCACAATTGTAATTAAAAAGTAGTTTAAATACAAGTTAATTTATTAAATGAAATGCATCATATTTAACATTTAAACGTTAAAGTGCAAATGTTTTCTATAATTTAAAATGGTTGTGGCTTTAAAAAAAATTGTAAATAGTTTTGATTTGTGAAAAAAAGGTGTGGCACATAGAGGAAGAGGTATAAATTGGATATTCATTGAAAAACGTGTTTCATTAGTGGGTCATAAAAGAATAATTTTAAAAATTTTACGTAAACAAAAGAACACAATCGGTCAGCATTGTTTTTAATTCCGAAGTTTTTGAGACGAAGATTGAATTTGATATCAAAATTACGTTATAGTCAAAAGAGGTGTCATGTAATGATTAAGAATATCAAAATTTACTCTTTCACAAACTTCATATGAATATATAAAAGTCATCAACACTTTTTAATCTTATAATTTAATAATTATGCAGTCATTAAAGGCGGACAAAATTTCCCATTCCTGTATTTATTGTTTATAGTCATTTTGATAAAGTCTACCATTATTTAGTAAAAATGGCAACCAACACTTTAAGATTCCTTTGCTGTTTATAAGTTTGTTTTCTTCGACTTGTGATTTTTTGATTGCCCCTAGGTATCCTCTCTCTCTTTTTAAAGAGGCCTTAAGATTAAGATTAAAGACAAACTCTCAAATGAAGATATGTTGGCAGTTTTTGCAGTTTTGCATTAAAACTATGAAAAACAGTAAAACAAAAATACCGAACTCCAAGGCAAATTCAAAAAAGGGAAGTCAATAAAAACTGTAAAAATTAAACAGCAAAATCAATCAACGGAACAAGTGAAAACCAGCTGCCATATTCCTGACTTGGTACAGACATTTTCCGAAGAAAATGGTGGATTAAACCTAGTTTTATAGCTAAACCTCTCACTTATACGACAGTTGTTTTCCACATGAAGTTCCGTTATATTGACAAAATCGGCTGATCAACCCAAACAGACATAATAGGGTAATGTGACAATAATTGGGATCCAGCAGCCAAAATTATGTAAACATACATCACAGAAGTATAACACAACTGACTAAATAAATCTAACAAAGACACCAACAAAATGATGTTGTAGTAGATAGTAAATTTGACAATGACGTACAAAAACGATTTTGTCGTTACATGTAATAGTAAATTGAGAAGGTCGCCGATAAAAAAAGTTTTTGCCGTTGATAACTACATACTGATATAGTATACACTTTCCGATAAAATCTTAATTTTAAGTTCTATTAAAGCAAACATGTAAGACAATGAAAATATTGATATCTGACATACAATAGTCTTATGAATATGTGATTTCAAATTTATGAAAAAAAATATATTCAAATTCAAGGCGCAAAACATATAAATTTTTCAATTGACAAAAACATGTAAAAATTGTGTGACTTTAAGTTTATCCTCTCTGTGTAAAGTTTTGTTTTGTTTTGTACGCTGGTTTTGCGTCATTTTTAATGTTTTGTTTTGTGTTGATTAAATGTACCTTTTGAAAATTTTATCATTAATACTATCAAGTTTGGTTTCCTGACCACTGCCGATATTTTTTAATGCGAACTTCACGGTATAACATCACATTAATTTTGATATCTTGCAGTCCGTTGTATATCGATACACCGGTATAGGGAGGTGCATATATTAAGAGTGCACCTTCTATATAACCTCATTTGCAAAGATCTTTTCCTCTAAAAATATGTATACATGTAGGTTAAAGCTGCAATTGGTGGCAAAATGTACAATAATTATGTTTTCTTAGATTTGTAAGTATTTCAATCGGTTGATAGATTGTTTGCTTGCTTAACGATGGCAAATATTTCTTACATGTTCAAAAGGACAACAAATTAACAATTAACACTATAAGTAGGGTCTGCAAGGTAGGTAGGTCTACCAGGATGAAGAACTTGGGACTGTCACTGGAAAATAATAAGCAGAATGTTTACCTTGCAACAGTCGCCTACATATCCTTCGGAAAGTTGTTGCGAAGTTTCCTAAACGTGTAGAAAGTGTAGCACTTCACCTACAAGGATCACGGAAAATGATAAGTTTTCTATAATATGACGTGAATAACAATTACTATAAATAATCGACATACGCCTTTCAAATCAAATACTTAATAAAAAAAGTTATTTTTATTATATAATAAATTTTGAAAAGTGTTTTTTTCTTGAATTTTTCACTTGTGAACTTAACACTTCAGACTGAAGTACTGTAAACTTTAAATTCATTAACGTCAACGGGATGATAAATACTATGAAGAGTTTTTAATATTTGTTAAGTTAGATACCCCAATGCAGAAATATAAAAGGCCCACCACATCAAATTTGAATCTTTTTGGGGACAATTAACTTTAAAGTATGAGTGTCAAATAAATCGGTCAAGCATATTATGGCAATTATGTACACTCTCAATGATATTTCAATTTATTTTATTTTCTTCCAAATTATTTCTGAGATTTTATATCTGGTTGAATTTCATATGTAATACATAAAACATTTGACAGGAATGACAAAAAAGTATTGGATTGTCAATACAACAGAGCACATTAACCAACAATAGAGACAACCCACTCCTTCGGGATAATAGGCCTTCAAAAACAACATCAACTAATAATACATGGTCACATAGTCTGACTTGGTATAGGCACATCATGTTATGGGATAAAACCCGTTTTACGTGCACACAAACAGCACCCTTTGTCTTTCTAGACCTTTATATGTCTTAAAATAATAACTCACTTTATAAAACCTGATCTATCTAGTACCAATACAAAATATACGGCACATAATTTGTTGGGTTAAGTCAGTCTTTTCATGTGCACCTCTTTTTTGCCTATCTAGACCATATGTCTTTAAAGTTAAACACCCAATACAATCCGGCAGGTCTGTACAATATGTGCTTCTCAGAATCAAGTAATATTATTATTTCTTATTAAAAGGAACTTTTTTTCGGATATTGCACTCATATGGGAAATGCATTTTCTTTCTTTCAAGTTCGTTCGATTTTAAACTAATTTATCATAATTCTATATTTCAAATATTGTAGCTTATTTTATTACACCATTTCGTAACAGTTATATATCATTTAATATTTATATCATATTGTATAGAAATGTGAATTGTAACAGTCAGATCATTCTCTGGACGCTATCTGGTATATACTTTATCAATCATTTTTCGCTATAAGACATAAAGAACAACTTTTTATTACTTGAGTCTTCAGGAAAAATTTCGAATTAATTTGTCCAGACAGCAAAACAAACAATGTAATTCATAAATCTGAATTATATTAGATTCATAGAACTTACAAACGAACTGTTCTTATTCAAATCACACGTACTTTAAATCGATAAATTATCCGTACTTTCCAATCTTCTCTTTGACGTTCCTTTGATATAATTGTTTACTTTCTACAGTCTTTAAGTAAATTTTTATTTATTTTGTCTTATCAAACCTCAAATGAAATAAATTTATTTCATTTTACTGTGACTTTTATTTCTATTAACATATGTCAAATTTGATTGGAAATAATATCGAGTGATAAATTTAGTTGAAAAGTTGTACCGAATTGTTCTCAAATGTAATAATGTTAACGTTTCGATAAAACATCAAACTTAATAAAACTAGATATTCGTAAATATTTCTTGTGAAAAAAAGTACTGTTTGGTGTTAGTAAAAATAAATCGTTATTAGAAACTGTAGAAACTGTTCGCAAACTTCAGTGTTGAACATCATTGTTACATATCAAAACATGGTAATTAGTTTAAAAGACTGTCTATTAAATCCTACAAATTATGTGCCGTATATAAATCTCTGACTATTAATGACGTCTTTACACTAAATCCATTAGAATTTGGATGTGTACTGATTGATGTTTTAGTCTTAGATGCATGATTTTGTTTAGATGTTATTGGCTTTGAACTAGCAGTCGGTAACTGTGAGTACTCTCAGATCTGTACTTAAGTGTCTTTTTGTTGTGGAGATGTATAAATACCCTGCCACGTCCACTCTGTCTATTTGTTAGATGTATTTCTGCTTTGTATCGATCTGTTAAACCCTTTTCAACTCGTTTTTATAGTTTGTTCTTATGGTGTACTGTTACACCACTGTCCCAGGTTAGGGGAGGATTGGCGCGCCTTCAAACTAGTTTAATTCCGCCTCATTATGTATGTGCCTGTCCCAAGTCAGGAGCCTGTAAATCAGTGGTTGTCGTTTGTTGCTGTGTATCATATTTGTTTTTCGTTCATTATTTTGTACAT